CAAACATTGTTTCTTTTCCACCTGAAAATAAAAAGCATGAAGGAAATCTGTCACGATTTAAAACAAATCGAATGTTTGTCTCCTCTTCATCAGTTTATTGAACTACTTCCTGCAAATTCATGACCTTCCTTCCACAAGCGATGGGGATTACAGAGCAGAGAAGGGATTTACTTGCTTTCTGTGCCAACATACAGATTCACTTATTTCAGGGAGGAAAAAGTTCCAACCAAAACACCTACCTACTGGTTATGGTCGTCTGCCTCTTGGTTTTTATTCCTCTGTGGCACTGGCTGTGCCCAGTGGTGGTTACGTGATGCCTCTTCGTTTAGTTTCAGAGCTGATTTGTCAGGGCTCCACTTATTTTACCTGACTCGAGCTGCGTTGCTAATGTACCTCAGGTGAACACCTGGCTCCTGGCTGATGATGCTGTTCTTCTGTGCTTGTTCCTCATCTCTCGTGCCACGATAGCTGCGTCTTACTGTTGGATGAAGCCGTTTCTTGAGGTGGTGTGCAGCTCTCCATCTCGTGGGAGTTATGTTTATCCAGGGTTTGAGTCAAGTCCATATATAAAAATGTCTGAAGCCCTTTGGGCTGAGAAAGGCTTAAAATATTAACACTAATTAATGGCTCCTTCTCTGGCTGGGTGTAAACAGTGAGTCATGTGCCACTTATGGTTTTGCATGTTTAGTCCTTTTTCTGTGTGCTTGCAGAATGCCTGCTTGCAGATTTGGTTTATTGAGTAAACATGGATCCCAGCAGAGCCCTGAGGCTTTATCAAATGAAAAATGGAGGGAGGAGGGAAAGAAAAGACGTTATGTGTTGCCCAAGGTCATGCAGTGAGTCACTGGGAAAGCTGTTTAGGTGCTGGGTGTTTCTGGCTCCCTGTTCATTGTGCTGCGAGGCATGCTCGTTTGCCTGGGATTTTAATTAACTGTTGCAGCAAATCTGTAGTTAACCGAAGAGAATCATGAGTTGTAACAGTAGTTACGTCATCCTGATGACCATCAGATGTTATGCAAAAATTGAAGAGTGTCCATTTGTTAAGCATAGTTATTAAGGGCCCTAGACCCGAGCACTTAAACTTGGTTTACAAGGACTGCCCTAACATCCTAGGCAAGAGCTTGCCAGTGGAAGGGCATGAGGGCACAGGCAGGGTGTTCTGATACGACTCTGGTTACAACCGCTGCTCCAAGCGCTCGCCCTGCATTTCCAGCGCTCCTCCTCTTGTGGCCTGCAGAAGGGCGTACTTCCCACTCGATCGCTCGACGCCCAGGGATTTTGGTTGGCTTTACACTGACTTAACTTCAAAACCACCTCTACAGTTTAAATAAATACTTGGGGTTTTTTTGATAATGGAAAGTTGAGTTCTGAATGTGGGAATGTTATTTTTAAGCTTTTTTAGAGAGAAAACCCAAAATTTAAAGCCACTGCAATGCATATATTAATCATAACCAATTTTTCATGGCATTTACTTGTAGAGGCACTAACGAGAGTATTTACGTGCAGTGCTGTTAGCGCGCTCTGCACCACACTGGGAAATCGTAAGGAATAGCATTTCAAGCAGTACGCAAATCCCACAGATTTTCATTTACCATGTAGACTCCCAGACCTTGGAGCTCTTTTTCAACTGTGCTCAGCATCCTTCTTGTTTTTTAAGTATGATAGGTACCCATGTGGGTGGTCCTCCCATCCCCTCCCCATGGCATGGGCTACGTAACAGGGAAATATGAATTCTGTTGGTTAACAGAATATGACACATCAAATGCTTTAGTTACATTTGTAGTTATCTTGAGATAGTGTATTTTTACATAAGGCTGTATCTCTTCTAGAAACGTACCTCATAGAGAACATATTTTCCAAAGCTATGTTTCATAATATGTGCAGAGCAAGGCGATTTTTGCAATTGATTTTTGTTCCTAGCAAAGGAAAGGTTAGCCAGACTCTTTCCAGAAGGCGTGTTGAATCACACGGATGACCCACAGCCAATCCACACAGCATTAGACTTTGAACTGAAGCCTAGCTTGTATAGGCACAGGCTTGAAAACTCAGCACCATCAAAAGTAATTGTATTAGTCAGAGATTGTTCATGTTTTTAGTTTCTGCTGCCAAATGCGATTTTGGCTTTGTGACTGTTGTTATAACTCAGGAACATTGTCTAAATCTTTAACTTTGTACACGACCAATCTTTCTTTTCTATTCATGAAGAAAAAAAGATTTCTGTTTTCTTTTGCTTGTCTATGTTTCGTTTGCCGATAAATGTCCTCTTTCTCTAGAAAGTATCTGTTTTCAGTGCGCTGGGATACAAACAAAACTTCTTGTGGTTTCTTTAAAACAAGGAAAAGCAGTGCCAAAAAGATGCTCTTCTTGACCAACAACATCTTGAAAACACGTGCTAAGTAAGCTTAATAGCATCTGGTGAGAGAAGGAAGGGCCAGGGTGCTCCGTCTATCCAAACAATACCCATGTGGGGCTGTTTGTGTTGCATATACTGCGTGCTTCCCAGCACAGCTAATCGTGGCTGCCTCTTCCCCGCTGTACTGGAGAGGTCCCTTGGAGTCAGGGCTGTGGTCTGAGATAATGAACTGCTCAGCAGTGTTGCCTTGGGATGTTGCTGCTTGTTGGCCGTGCTGCAAACACGATGGGGAAACCAGGTATCGCCATCGAATCCTTCTCGGAATGAAACCACAGCCTTGGTTGGGTTCATCTATGGCTGTGGCACTGACAGGGACCAGAGATAATTATTATTTAATAGTAGGGCATTGCTGGTTGTGAAAACTTTCCTCTGAAAGACAATTAGAAAGGGGAATGTTTTTCTCCTTACTGTGTTGCCTGTTCTGTTGCTCTTCCAACTGATTCTGTTTAACAAGCAGTCAGTTAATTATTTTCTTGCTGTCTGGAGACTGAAAGATAAGTTTCCATTGAGCATCTTATCCTGTCTGGGATTTGGCAATGGGTTTTATTGAAACAATCTGTTCATCTGAGTAAAATTTTGCTGGTGGAATTATAACAAAGTTGGATAAAGGATACACAGGACCAGGCTTGTTAAATATTAAAACCATAACTCCTGTATTTGCAGCAGCATATAGTGATGACTGATGCCTTTATTTTTTGCTTTCTACTTTACAGACATTGTGTATCTTGTAGGACATTTGAAATAAAACTGTAGGTGAAAAATACAAAGTGATGGGCATTTGGGTTAGTTTATATTAGTGGATTTTTGTCCCCAAGGTGATTTATCAATACAGGCTTTCAAACTGCTGGTGACAAAAGACACCTAAAGAGCTAGGTGCATAAATCTGCATGCTTTGGACAGGTATGGGATGAAAAAGGCACCTTCCGGAAGTTTTCCAGAAGGGATGAATTACAAGAAGGGGTATTAAGCCAATACGTACCTCCATTCTAGGTACACAGCTCAAGAATGCCATGAAGGTACCCCGTTTGTTAAAAAAGTGACTATATTACCCACTCCTTGGAAATTGATTTAAGTTAATCTCTAGGTGGGGCTTCCACTGCATCTAGAATCACTGGCCTGTTTTGAAGGTTTATACTAATGCCTTTTTCCTTTTGGGGACAGGTTTGTTAAGCAAAGGAAAGAATTTTGAAGCGGGGCAAGCTTGGAGGAAAGCTATGTTAAAGTTAGGTTTGCCAAGCAAAAGATACATCCCCTCAGACTTCTTCTGGTTTGATTTCGGGTTCAGTAACCTCCTACTCCTCAAAATCCTTAAGTCAAAACCTGAATTTATACACGTCCAGGTCCGTTGATGCTAAAAGAAATAGTCTAGTAACGTGATTAAATATGTAGTTAAATACCTGGAGAGGATTGGGATCATTTGGACAACAGATTAAACATAAAAGGAGTAAAAAAGATGTAACATCACTGAAAGGGTAAAGACTGATCTTTAAAAATGCAAAGAAAAGGAGAAATGGAGCTCAATGTGTATTTTACGGGCAGGTGATAAATAAAGGCAAAGTATTTATTTGAAATATGGTCTGTTTCAGAACACCCTTCTTAATTACTTGGTGAGTAGGAGGCCTTACGAGCTTTCCAGCTGTTTGCTGATTGCTGCGGGGGGGTTGTTGGTCCAGCCGGAATTGTCTGTTATCCAGCCAGTTCAGTTCCTGTGCAGATGCAGCATGTCTTGGAGAAACCATATTCGGTCCCCTTGATCCATTGCGTTGGCAAGGGTGTGTGGATCCAACCTTCCCTCCCTTTTTTTTATTTAAGTGCTGGAAGTTGCAGTGGTCTCTATTGATGCTGGATTTTAAGAATGTTTTGTGTCTTAGTGGGAATGTCTTCAATAACATGATAGTTAATATGTTTAGAGATAAGATGTTGAAAGGAAAATGTAATGGTATCCCCTACTGTCATAACAGAAAAATCCCATAAAGTCTTTAAATCCTGACATCTTCAGAAGGCGGCATCTGTGTATGTAGGAGGCAATATAATTATTTAGAAGAGGTACTCCATTGAAAAAAAATGTAAGATGAAACATTAGCTGGTGTCTTATGAGAATAAAAAATGCTTTTAACTATACATATGCATGTTTGATACACTTTGTTGCTTTCATGACTCTTTAGTGTTTGCTCAATATATTTTTTTTACTTCAGCAGCTGTTGGCTAATTATTTCAAGAAGCTGTTGGAAACAACTCACTCCTAGTATGATCAGATGTTTGCTTTGTACAGCAGAGCATAAATATTCCTTTGGTCTTTTAATTGTTTTTGATTTAATGGGTACCTGTTGTGGAAAAAGTACTCCTACAGTCTAAAGAGCCCACTCTTTAGAGCAGAAGTTCACTGAGATGTTTCTGTACAGAGCCACAGGAAATATTCAAAGAAAAGAGAGCGCAAAATCCTCAAGGGATAAAAACCTCTCTTTTTTTTTCTCTCTGCTGTATGAATGTATTCATATTTCTGTAGAATTTGTTCTACTGGTGTAGTAGTGTCTTAACAACGTTTGATTTTTTTTTTTTTTTAAGCTTATTTTATTTTTATTTGTAGGGTAAATTGCCAGTTCTTCTGCTTGGTCAGTCTGCAGACTTGAGGCCAGGAGAATTTGTGGTCGCGATCGGAAGTCCATTTTCTCTTCAAAACACAGTGACTACAGGGATCGTTAGTACCACTCAGCGTGGAGGGAAGGAGCTGGGGCTCCGCAACTCCGATATGGACTATATTCAGACTGATGCCATCATCAACGTATGTCCTGCTCTGAGTCTCGTCCCCTTCAGCTCTTAAATTTCTTGAATAGTTGCTTTGAAAATTTCACCAGCGCTATAGTTCTTAAGAACAGTGAGCGTAGTTGGCTTTCCTTTCATCCGTGTAAATATGGACATCTGCGCTGCAGCAGCACTTGATTGTTATTTAAAAATCCCCCAGGGAGCCACAACAAGTACAATATCTGCCTTCACTTGAAAATTCTTACAAATTACAAGGGAGGAGGCAATATTCTCTGGCAAATAAGTATCTTTTCGAAATCCATCATGTTTTCTAAAAAAGAAACCAAGCTTAGTTTAAGGATTCGAGTTTGGGTTTGCATTAAGGCAAACCAATAGTTTTTGTACTTCTACTGTTGGCCTTGTAAGAAATCGTCACTAACAGCTCCCAGAGCTGTCCTAAAATCTTCTAAGTTGCTAGTGTGGTACTATTAAAACAAAAGAAAAACCCTGGCTTTCTTAACTTACTCTGACAAGAGAAGGACTAAGCGTTTGCAAAGCTCAGCTAGAAGGGATGTTGTTAAGTGCAGTTAATGGGTTTGGATGTTAAGACTGTTCTATTGCACATATCTAATAGACAATGAAAAAAATTACTACAGAAATACCTCAAAAATTTCTTTTATGTTTTGCTTGCCATGAATTAAGAGGTAGATATTAAAACACATTCTTGCCATATGCTTATTTTCAGTATGGAAACTCCGGGGGACCCCTAGTAAATCTGGTAAGAGTTTCTTTAAGTTTGTTTGTTTATTGTTAGGCTTTTTAATTTTCACTTTTTAGTTTAAAAACAAAACCAAAAAACCCCACCTAAACAAACAAACAAACAAACAAAACCCCACACCAGAAATGTGGTTCAGAGCATTCAGTATCTGGCTGGCTACTCAAAATTCACATGGTTCTTACTAATCGCTTGCCTGTGTTTATGCTGGCAAATCACAAGACACGCTTGGATTTCAATATTTAAGGTGTTTACGGTTTGCATAGTTTTGAGCAAGTGTAATGCACCATTTTTTTTTTTGCCCATGCCTTGCAAAAAATAAAAAGCACATTTTAAATTTGAGGCGTTTGCACTCACTGTATGCCATGCAGCTGGCACTTTTTTTTTGCTTACTGAAACTCAGGTTAATGATTCAAGAACATACCTAGCCCTTTATGTTGAATCACACTGAGGGGGTTGAAAAACCCATGTATTTATCAGGATACTGGGGTTTATTTGCTGGTATTGTAGAACGTAGTCCGAGCTGACCTTGCAGCAGCTGTGGCTAAGCCCAAGAGAGAACAACTGAAGCGGGTTGCAAAGCCCAGCTCCTGCGTGAGAGCTCTCGGACGGGGGCACGCGGGGTCGAACGGAGGAGAGGCAGTGGTCCTCAACGAGGGATGGCACAAATTGGAAGAAAGAGTTAGTCAGAGTTTCTGCCTTGGAGATTTGGCAATTTTTTTTCACCTGACTCGCGGTACAATTTCAGCACCAGTAACCTCCATTTTAAAATTTGTAGTTGGATGGTTTTTATCTGGGATAGATCAGGGAAGGAAGCTGCTGAGATTTCAGAAGTGTCTGAATCATCAGGTGTCAGCAGAGATGTTTAATCTGAAATTCTCTCTTGGAGTCACATTACTGGGAAAAGCTTTTAATTTTGGTGAACTGCTGTTTTTCTTCATATTATTATGTGATATTTGCTCAGCACCTCACCTGCCGGTCAGTTTGCTGAACTAAACAGACCAAAATTGGCTGTAGTATTGCTGCTCGTCTGCTGTAAGCTGGAGAGTCTGCCCAATTCTGATCTCTCTTCTGCTAGTGGCAATATGAATATCGACATTGGTATCCAAAACTGTAGAATAGTTTTTTATCAATAGAGGATTCAGATAAATTAGACTTAACGAAACCATTTAGAAAATTGAAAACCAGCTACAGAGTATGTTGTGTGAATTTGTCTTTGTGATTGCTTGAAAGAAATCATCCATTTCTCTTCAAGACGTTTCACATTTGCTAATGAAAATTTCTTATTTCTCCAGGATGGTGAAGTCATTGGAATTAACACGTTAAAAGTTACAGCAGGGATCTCGTTTGCTATCCCATCGGATAAAATCAAAAAGTTCCTAACGGAATCCCATGACAGACAAGCTAAAGGTACTGTACTTCACCGCTTTGAAAGAGAAAAACATGAAAATAGTAGTAAAACAGAAAGTCAACAGCCCTTGGGGCTCTCTTTTTGGTAAGAGCAATTGATCAAGACCTGTTTTCCTTTTTGTAGGAAAAGCTATAACCAAAAAGAAATACATTGGCATTCGAATGATGTCTCTAACTCCTAGGTAAGTACAAGTGGTGGTTCCTCACCTTTCCAAAGTGTGGGCACTGCATGCATTTGGATCAACCTCATGATCTGCAGAAACAACCAGGAGGTTCGACCCAGCAGCGTGTGCCTCCGTAGGCACTGGTGACAACTCGCAGCCAATTTTTGCTACCTGTTGCTCTGCATCTGCTGCATGGTTGAACTCTCCTGTAGACTCTATGAGCTAGTTTTTAAACAACTGCCTGGCTTTTTCTTTTCCTTAATGCTTCAGAAGAGAATAGTTAGCGATCACTAATTTGTCCCGGGGCTCTTTTAGTGTTGCTACCATCTGTCCTGTGCTGTCATGAGGGTTGAGGAGAAAACAGGACAGTATGTTTTCAAGAATTACAGCAGCTACATGCATATTTCCATTTATACAAAATTATTTTCATTAAACAATTCACTTAACGTAAAATGAAGCTTTTGTGTGGACTTGCTTATTCATCCTCAAACCAGAAAAGGCTCATGAGCAGGTGATACTGCATGCTGTAGAAATAACTTGAAGTTTTTACATGTGCAGGTGCAGGATCAGAGGTATAACAAAGCATTGAAAACTGAAGGGGTTTTTTTTAGGTGTTCAGGATCTTCTAGTTCTAAAATAACGGCCAAGTTTTGAAATGTTTTAACTCTGATCCTCTGTATCTACTGAAATAGGCATTAAAAAGCTGTATGCATGCAAAAAGTTTAGTAATTCTTGAAATAATTTTAAGGGTTAAAATGAGTTGTGAAGTGTCACATCAACGTGTAAAATACCTCAGCTAGCAAACGTTAAGTGAGTTAACTAAGTTAAAACACGTGATTTTTTTTTTTTCCCCCCATCTTGTCAAAATATTTTTGTGGCTGTTTCTTCATTTTTCAGCAAAGCTAGAGAGCTGAAGGATCGCCATAAAGACTTTCCTGATGTTGTCTCTGGGGCCTATGTTATTGAAGTAATTCCAGAAACACCAGCTGAAGCGTAAGTTGAACTACTTTTTTCTCAAAACCACTGCCACTGGCTTAAGGGGGTAATGATGGAGAATGTTCCCTGCTTAACTGGCTATCTTGGTTATGCGAAATTAACAGAATTACAACCATCTGATACCTATTAGGTTGTCTGCTGGAAATTATTTGTGGTTTCAGTCCAGTCCCCAATGGGTAATATTGCAAACGTATCAGGGTATTTCAGTGAAGTCTGTCAGCGTTCCTAGCTGAAAGGGCAAGGATTCAGTGGGCGTGAAAACTCAGTTTTCATTTTTCTCGGCGATTGCTTCCAAGACATCTGTTGTACCGATGACAGTGCTGAATAAAGACGTTTGCTTGTGCGTGCTCCCCACCGCCCTGCTGGTCACTCCTGTAGGAGAGCGAGGAAGAAGCGTTGCTTCCACCTCGTGAAGACGTGTCCATCTCAGCCCAAGCACCTCAGTGTTGGGCAAACCCACCAGCTCTCCTGGCGTGCCTCCATCAGGGGAGAAATCCTCTCTTGGCACGAGAAGCTCTTCCATGTGAGAGCTTTGTCAGGAGTCACATTACTGGGAAGAGCTTTTGGTTTTGGCCAGCTGGTCTTTTTCTTCGTATTATTCAGTATTTGCTCAGAACCTCACCTGCCGGTTAGTACCACGCTTCACGAGACGCCCGGCTGAAGTATGGCACCTGGTCTGCGGTCACTGGCACTGGTCTGCCTGTCTCTGGCTGGAGACACTTTCCCTTCAGAGTTTGGTTAATACAAAACTGCTCAGTAATCCAGGGTAGGAAATAGGAAACTTTATTCATTTTCTGAAACTAGAGATCATTTAAGAGAAGAGTAAATCTTTGTGGCCAGAAAGAGGCGTATGTAGCACCAAAGCCATGTAGGCAGAAAGCTACTTGGAGCAGGCATATGTTATCTCTTAGGGAGACTGCGAGGATGGTTGGATGATATCTTTTTGTTAAGTTTGCACACCACTGTAAGACATACAGTGTTAGCTGTCTGGCTTTTTTTCTAAATTATTGCTGCTTTGTGTAGATAATTCTTGTTGGCGGCGCTGTTTGTGCAGAATACAGGTGTATGTCTGTAACGTGAAATCCAACTGCAGTTTGTGTAGGAATACTGTGGTTGCTCCATTGTGGCACTGAACTTACTGCCTTGACATGCAGGTCCAGTCTGAAGGTGCAGAAAAATCATTATAGGAGCACGGATAATAGTTAGCAGAGAGTGGGAGAAGGACATTAGAGAGGTAGAAGAAATGTGAGGAAATGGAGCCTCATAACTTGAAGGCAAACTCAAATCAGGACACTTCATCTGAAGGCTGGCCTGGTAGTTAAAATGCAGCCCATGTTTGCTCTGTCTCCCCCACTCGTAGTCCTCTTGCCCTTGGTTTTTCCCATCCTCCTGATTTCCTCTCCAATGTGTGTTGTGTAGACCTGCTGGGTAGGGGATCAGGGCAGTTCTGCAGCGACCTGTCCTGGGTATGAATCAAGAGGAGAGGCTGCACGAGAGACCGAGATAATCTGGAGTGGTTTGTCCCATGAAAACGTTTTAAGCCATGCCTTCGGTAGGCAACCAGATTTGTTGCAAATGTTGGCCAAGGCATCTTGCTTGCAGGAGACACTCATGTAAGGCGTTTTCTGCGGGTGGAAGAAGCTGATGACTGCTCTGTGGTTTTGTGAAGAAGGATTATGCTGAAGGGCTGAATCATGTCTGATCTCGTTACTTGGTTAATATTTCCATAACTTGGAGCCAGATCGTTGTGCAAGACCGGGCAAGACGTTGTGGTCGATGGTATCCCTCACCACCCTGTTTCTCGGTCCCAGCAGCAGTCTCAGCCAGCGGGGGGAGAGACCCACCGCCCTGGGCAGGGGAGCCTCGCGGTGCCGGCTCCGGTTCTGCCGCATCTTGCTTTGAGTCGGGAGGGGTTTGTTTTCGTTTTGCATATGGTGCTGAGGTCAGGAGAAGGGATTCTGGGGGCTATGGGCAGGCGGGCGAGGGCAGTGACACGTATGCATTTTTGGTCACTGGGCTAGATCGCTGCTTAAGTTTAAACCATGAAGGTAAGCTGAAGTGGCTGCCAATAAGCTATGCATGGAGAGCAGCATGGATCCGGGACTGAAATTCCTCATGTGTTAATACACAGTGCCACTTAGATTGCTTTGCTATGTAGACGTGAATAAAAGCTTGGAAAACTTCCCCTCTAAAATGCCTGTCTTGTTGCAATTATTTTAAAAAAAAGTATGCCCCCCTCTCTTCTACCGAATCAGCATCTAGAACCTTTATTGCAGAATTACTGCAGTATTTGCAATAGTGAATTCCTCTGAAGACAGTAGAATATGGGATTCATCAAACTTGTACCTCCATCAGATTTCTGAGGTTTCTGCATTGTATTGTAATCTTCACCCCTTCATAAATTCTGGTTGCTTTTTGCATGCCCGCTGTGTCTCTGTGCAACTGCTCTTGGGTGGGAAATAAGAAAATCCAGCAAGCTTTTTTTTTTTTTTTTTTTAAAGAATATTGTAAAGACAACAAAATGGCAATTATAGTAATACATTGCTGCTTTGTATTTTCAGTGGTGGCCTGAAGGACAACGATGTGATTATAAGCATCAATGGACAGTCGATAAGTTCAGCCAGTGATGTCAGTGACATTATTAAAAAGGACAGTACATTGAACATGGTTGTACGCAGGGGCAACGAAGATGTTATGTTAACAGTAGTTCCTGAAGAAATCGATCCCTAACCAGAAACATGAGCTGGATTTCATGTTTTCTTTTAACAGCGTTGGACGCTTATATTCTCTCTGTGCTGGTACAGGAAACGTTAGACTTCTGACCAACATTCTGCTTCTTCAGTGGATTAGTATTGGCCAACAGAGTAACTTCTAATAGGTTTAAGGTGCAAAATCAGTGTAATTTCACATACTCCAGATGATAATTTTTTTTTTTCCTTCTGTATTATGTATGCAATGTATTCTTTACTGGCTGTTACATTCCCGCTTAACAAATCGACGTTTGCTTCCCTGTGTTGAATAGATTTACCATTATTTCCGCTAAGATTTAAACAAACCCACGCACACAATGTGTGTTGTGGTATTCAGGTATTTATAGGTTAGCTGTGTTTTAACTGGAAATACCATTGTAAAGGAGTAGTTTGTTTAAAAGAAAACACAATTGGGGAAAAAAGTTTGGTTTATAAATACAAAGAAATCCCAACCAAAATAACCTTTTGAGGATCCCGTGCAGGATTTTAATACTATGATATTTTCCTAGTGTTATTAAAAGAGTTCAACAGTACTTCTTCTTGTGAGTGATTCATTTTACTTCCCCTTGTGGAGTGTTTTTCTTTGAACAGCACATCTGCCTGAAAGGATGTCCTGATGGTCTCCTTTTCATCATCATAAACCGAAACACTTGTTTTTCAGTATGTGCCTGTATTTGTGCTCTTGTGCATCTGCTTTTCTTAGTGTGGCTGGCTCGAATTTGTCATACTGGTTAACGTGGATTGCCTGTCTTCCAGATGTTACTACATTTTCCTCATTGTTTTAATTACAACTTCACCAATGCCCACTAAAGAAATTGTCATATTGTGGATCACAGTTGCTATACCATTCTAGTTCAGGCATTAGGATGTATGTAACCGTTGTAGATCTGGCCTTAAGCTCTTTCAAACAGGCTGTTATATTCACAGTCTTGAGTGCTGGTGTGTGTATGACAGGACCTGGTTTTGACTAGGATATTGGGCATTCCTCTAACATAGAGACTAATCCATATTTATGGATGCCCTTGAAGCTTGGGTACTGAATGGGATTGCCTTACTGTGAAGGAGATCAATCAACCAAATTTAATTACAGTGTAATTACTCATTGGGTAAACAATAGGCTAAGCAGCTTTTCCTTTCCTTTGTTGAAATACGTCCCTCGGAGAATAAATCCGAGGGCTATAGACAAGTTTCGGTGACTGTCATTCCTAAACATGCTGCTCTTTTCAAAATGCTTCTTAGTAAAACTCTTCAACTGGGTAGCTGGCAGTTTATGATTTTGAAAGAAAGGGCTGTGTTCCACACAATTACAGCCAGAAATCCTCTAGACCCGCATCCCTGACAGTGCTCCTCCTCCCACTAGCTGTATTTCAGTTGTGTTTCAGCCAGCTTATCCCAAATTGGGGAGCCTCTGTATCCCCAAGTGCCAGTGCCTGCCCTTATTCACCTGTAAGGAATCACTATAAATTTACAGAGTCATACAGTGTACTGACACTTGACATGACTGAACACCTCATTACTGATTTACTTGTTCCGTCGCTGCGGTAAATCGCACGTCTGAAAATCTGCCAAGATATTCTGGTGCCAGGCGCCGAAGGTCTACAATATTTGAAAGATGCAAAGTCGAATGATCTTGCGGAGTTGCTGTGTGGTATATTTGCGCTGCAAGTACATCTTACCGATGTTGGTTAATGTTTCAGCTTCCTGTTGAAGTGGTATTGTATTTTGCAGACCATCTATGCTCTGTGTAGTGCATGGTGTTGTGACATACAGCTCTTGGCAAAAACGATTTAAAAAATCCCACCTACCTGCTCCACTCCTGCACCTAACACAACTAGCAAAAATCAAGCTAAAGCCCCAAAGCCAGGAAATAGTGTTTTAAAAGTTTAAAAAGAAGTTATTTTTCATCTGCCTTTTTATTTCAAAACAAGCAGTTGCGTAATTTACAGAGCTGGTTGCTTCCCTTTGTTCCTATTGTTTGTTGTTGTGGTCTTTTAATATGCAAAACCATTAATTTTTTTTTTTTTTTTTTTTGCTTGGTTTCTAGCTAGCCACTTTGGGCTTACCAGTGACGTCCCTAGCACAGCGCATCTTTGTGCCTGTGCTTTACATAGATACTGCTGCGAGGCATAAACGCTGCAGGACACCGGTTCGGGTTCGTGTGTGCAATAGGAGAGAGGCAAATGAACTTGACTTCTGTAAATGATTTTCCTTCCCCGCTGGGATCAGTGAAATATTTGACCAGATTTCTGGGCTGTGTAGTCAAGGCCGGTAGCTCCATCTAGTGGGATGTGAGATGGGCTCTTATTGCAGCCAGTCATTTTCCATCGTATATTTGAAAGTGGTTTTCCAATTTAGCTATTTTTTTTTTATTTATAATAAATTTCTTTGCATCAGATATCCAGAACCACGTGCATATCCTGAAAAATGTTTTGCATTTACTCTTCTAGTATCCAACCATGTTTGCTGCTACCAAGATGGTTTCTTACAATCAAAATTGTCTCTAAATGTTTTTTAAGCATTTAAAATAAGATTACTGGTAAGCAGAGACACAGCAGCAAAGTTTGTGTTTAATACAATTAATTAGCATGTATTTTTGGTTATTATTGGGTTATAGATTTGGAATGGTTTTTATTATTTGTTGCATCAACGCACATTTCTTTCTGAAGTGCAATTGAAAATACTTTGTACAGAATAGCTTTGGCACAGTTTGTATAAATATCAGTTTCCTGGAAATTTTAGCAAGTGTTGGACGCTAAATCAGAGAAATTAGACAATCTGGCTTGATTTTCAGTATTTTGGAATGTCTGAAATGGAAACTGGAGTTGCTGCATATGTGATGCCGAGGAGATGGCTGCTTGTGGCTACACTCAGAGGTAGTTTTGAAAAGCTAGTTCACTTATTCCATGAGGGAAATGTCTCAAGCTGTAAAAGAAATGATTGTGACTAACAATTGTCTGGTTTCTGTGGCTTATATGCCAAGCAGTAAGGTCCTGTGGTTTCAATACCGGATGACTTTTTTTTTTTTTACTTTTTTTTCCCCTCCCTCCCTCCCTCCCTCCCCATAACTATTTTGTATTTATGTTAAGAAAGCTGAGGATGTTGTTAAAGCTACATCTTTCCAAATTACAGTGAGAGAGACATCTAGTAGGGCATTAGATTATCTACATGTTCTTATTGTATATCAGAAAAATACTTTGATTAATACTGCAGTTGCAAATATGCAGGAGAAATAGTGGTGATGGAGAAATTAGTAGTCACCAACCCAGAGCAGTGAATGATGAGTGCCACTGAGTATTTATTTGCATGCAATGGCAGGTCACTGCCAGAGTCCCTTTCATCCTTGGAGTGAGAATAAAGAAATGTTCATTGGAGGTTCCAGGGATCTCCTTGATTGAATTATATTTGAG